CTTATGGAAGCCACTGATTGGATCGACGAGCCCCCTTCTGTACGTATGTGTGGCTTTACAGCCTGCTCTGGAAGTTTGTGACGGTGTGCTTCCTGGACCAAAACGTGTCCACGTTGTTCCCCCTCTATGGTGCTCGATCAGTGGGGCTGGATTGACTAAAAGGCAGCAGTTTGCTGCTGGCAGCTGAAACAGAGAAAGAGGAGGAGAGGGGCAGGCAGAGATTCCCATCCACCAAACGATGCACAGCGGCTCCACAGCGCCACCACAGCAGCCATCAGCAGAGGGAAACACAGCTCGTTGTTTACAGAATAGCATTTCTCCACAGACGGCGCTGCTGACTGAACGCTCTCTGCTGCTTTAACTGGGTCGAGGACAAGAAACAGAAAAATGGCGGTTTTAAAAATAGCAGCTTGATGGCTACACAAAGCCCAGATCTAATAATAACCCCATCCTGCTGCTGTGGTGGTCGGTTAGTTTTAGGCCTGTTTATTGGTGTAATGTTGCATTGTTTAGGATTTAAGGATATTTACTGGTTCTATCTACTTTGATTGAAAATGTTAAACGCTCATTTAAATGGTTCTGTTTGGTCCATCAGGGCAGAACTGATTCTAATAGTTTTCCAGTTCATTCCCTTTGTTCGCTTTAGGGATCCAAACCGCTTGTAGTGGTATTATTGTTATAGCTCATGTGCAAAGTTGAAATAATATTTTAGATTATCTTCAGAATACATTCAGAAACTATTGTTCAATTTTTACTTTTTACTAAGATAAATTAAAATGTCTTTTAAAAAGCACTGACCAACTCCTATTGGTTGTTTAACCTCTGCTTCTTCTTACACTTTAATATTAACTCCTGAAATGTCTTAGAAAAAATGTATTTGTTAAATTTTTTTGAATTTGAAACTTAAAAAAAGGCATTTTCTATTATTTTTATTAATTTTTTTTAATCTGCTGTACATGCGGGTGATAGACTGGGAAATCCATCCGAGGAAGAATCTGAGGACACATCAAGACATTTGCAAATTTATCCAAAATGTGCTAAAATTACACACCTTGAGCTGCCACATTTATTGGTGCAAATTTTGCATTTTTTTATATTTATACACTTGAAATTCACTCTGTTTACATGCACAGCGTCCTGCTTGCAGAGTGTCTGTTATTTTTGTCTTTTAGGCTTTATTTTGCTAATTTTTTTCAGTAAATAAAGCCATTCTGTGCATATTTATTGTAACTACATCACCTGACTGGTATTACGACACTGCAAATTTATACAACTGGTCAACAAGCCAAAGTGCTGAAGGCGAGTGGAAAAAAATGGGAGAAAAGTCAAGGATCATGAGTAAAAAAGAGAAAAAAAAATATGTTTGATTCCAAGCAAGACAAAACTAGAGTTGCTCTGGGAAAACAGTCTGACTGTTGGAATTCACTAAAGCTCAGTTGATTGACATGTGAGGACATGTCCTACAGTAGCTAATAGCGCTACTTGTGTTAGCAATGCTTTAAGCTGTATCCCCTGAGCTGTAGGTTTTATGCAAGGCATTACATCATTGTCTGGATTTAGACCACTACTGGCTTCCTGGTAGTTCAGCGTGCTCCCAGTAGATGGCGCCATGTCTATGTTAGCTAAATGAGCCTGGCATTAAAACCCCATCAGGACAAAAGTTTGAAGAATACAACCTTATTTCAGGATAATTAACTGGATTTGGTCTTTTTGGTATAAACATATGACGTGACTACGGACTTTTTAAAAAAGCGGGGTCATTTGAATCCATCATTACAGCCACACTATTTGGTTAAACAAGGATTTGGGAAGCACGATGCTTTCTGTTTTATTCCTTGAATCAAAAGGACAGGAAACGGCTTCAGTCCCTCTGTGTGTTTAATATATTCCAGTCTGGCTCCGTTTGTTGAATGCTACAACATGCTGAACCTTATGTGGTCGTGATCCAGACAGCTGATGTTACTATGTTCTCTACATGTATTTGTTTTGCCTGCCTGCCGTTGTTCTGTGTCCTGAACGCAGCCCGTTTGGTGACAGCTACAGCAAACAAAGAGCCAACATGTCAGAGAGGCGGAACCTTTTTCTCCTCTACTGTCCTGCGGGTTGACAGACAGATCAAAGATCAGCATCTGCTGCTTTTTTATCCTGTGAAAGAGATGCAGAAGTCTGTGTAATGTTGGACCATGGCTCCAAGATTTTTTTGTAGG